TTATTTGGCTGGAAGTTCAATTCCAGGCCTGAAGGGTGACTAGGGATTATAGTCTCAGGGGTTTTACTAGTCTCTATCAAACCAGTAACCCTGGTGTTTTTCATGATTTTGAGTTCTGTTCCACATTTTTCTTTGCTGTATCCAGGATCTCCACTTTTGATCTCTTTCTGAGTGACTGGCTGTGGTAACCAGGCACCATCTAGTTTTTCTGAACTCAGGGTCATGTAGGCTGAGGTTCCCACTTGTCCACTTACCCCTTGAGCTAATTTTTTCCATGTATCTTTGATTTTCTTTCTTTTCTTTGCTCTGGATGAGGAGAGGCCAGTAGTTGCATCTTAGGTGTCCACTTGCAAGCTTTTAAGACCCCAGTTGCTACACACAAAGTATGAGGTAGAACAATGTTTTGGTGTTGTATGTTAATTGAGCTTGATGTCACCTACAACCATGGTCCAGAGGCCGTGGGCAAGCAACTCACTCCCTTAAGTTGTTTAGCAGTGGCTAAGGCACTTGACTGCTACCGAGAAGGCTGGCAGTTCAAACCCACCAGCCACTCCTCAGAAGGAAGATTGGGCAATCTACTTCCGTAGTGATACTGCCTCAGAAACCCAAGGAGGGGTCTTATGAGTCAGGTCTGACTCTATGGCACATAACAACAACAACAACACAAGAAGTTATCATAACTTTGCGCTGTGTTAGCTATGTTATATATGGCCATTCTTATAGCACATATAAGTATGTATGTAGAAATACTGTCTGCCAAACCTGTATATGGTCTTGAGTACATTCCATTTTGCCTACCCATACCTGATCATCTTGCCCGTCTACCTGTGTATCCACTCATAGATTGTTTATTACTTATAATGCAGTATTATGTACCTCTTGTGCACCTCTCCATGTCTTCCTTTTCCTTAATGTTATTGTACTGGTCGCTTGCTTTTGGTATATTGCCTTTCCCTTCACCCAAATCAGTATGTGTGTCTCTTACTTAGCTAGTGATTTTTTCTCCCAACTCTCCCCACATCCCTGGTAACTAACAAAGTTTTCTTCCAGATCATAGCTGTTCTGGTGGATATAAAGTGGGTATTTCATTGTAAATCCACAACATAAGCCTACAGATTGTGCTTGAAGTCTAAGAATTATCTCATATTTTTTTTTCCCTTAATTTTCATGTTGATGATGATTTTGGGGAAAAAAGTAATACACCTGTATTCTAGATCATCTGGATAACAAGCCACCTTAAAACCAAGGATTGTCACACTGCTTTAATACCTACATTTGTGTTTAAAAGTACATTGGCACCAAGAAATAAAACTTCCATTTTTAATGTGCTAATGAAAATACTTATGTTAGCCACCATTGAGTAGAGGATGTAATTATATAAATTATATATTTCTGCTAAGAGACAACTACATTATATTATGGTTTGCTATAAGGAACAAAAGTTTTGAAGTACTTGAACAGAGAGAAACAGATAAATTTGAATAATCACAGTATTGCAGGAATGATAAAGGCAAAAGAACTTTCTCCATTACAGTCCATCTGATCAAAATAAGCCACATATTTGTTTGTTAAGCAGTAATTTGAGTTCAGCAAAACATTATTGCACTAAATTTGAGAGATTTTCCTTTATTTTGTTGGTTTTATTAGTGTCCTGGGGCTGTTGTAACAGAATACCGCAACCTGTGTGGCTTATAGGAACAGAAATTTATTGTCTAATAATTCTGGAGGCTGCAAGTCTGAATTCAGGGTGTTTGCAGGACAATGCCCTGTCAGAAAGTTCTAGAAGATCCTTTCTTGTCTTTTCCAGCTTTTGGTAGCCCCAGGCATTTCTTGGCTTGCTGCTGTAGCATAACTGTGATCATATAGTTTTTCCCTCTGTGTATCTTTTCTTGTGTCTCTTTTCCTCATTGCATTAAGACCTACCCTTCTCTAATGTGACCTATGTTAATTAATAACATCAGAACCCTATTTCTAAATGAGCACATTCATAGTTACCAGGGGTTGACATTTAAGCATAACTTCTGGGGATATACAATTCAATTCATAACTCATGTTTATATAGAAACATTTTGGTTTTATTATTATAAATTTCCAATTGTATATTTATATACACATTAGCAACATTGTAGAGAAAATAAGTTAAGTCAACACTTAGGAACCATGAGATTTTTTCTTTTTTTCTGTCTTACAAAAGTGATCTCCGTATAATTTGAGGCCTATAGCTGTAGAATCTGTTTCCTTTGAGATTTAAAGTTTTTATTTTTACTTGTTCAAACCTAATTTATGTAATTTTATTAATTACTTGCTTTAAAGACAATCCTAGAATAATGGAGGTACTCAAGATAAATTGTCTTTTTTTAGATGTACTTATATGTATTTATCAGAACTTTGTTTTAATTTTACTGGTTACTTTTAATTTTACAGATAACCAATATGCATTTCCAAGGCTTTGGGCTATGTTTGGGTCTTCTGCTCATCTCTGTTAAAGCAGAATTTATGGATGATGGTGTTGATATGGAAGACTTTCATGAAAACTCAGAAGAGATTGATGTTGATGATGATGAACTTTCCTCAGAGGTAAGGGTATTGAGAAATGAGTTATAAATCATTCCTTTACATGATACGTAGGTGTGACTAACCTCCTAAGATTCATTTCCGTTCTAGTAGTTTCCATTTGCTAAGCAAATAGAAAACCATAGCTTTCTTCAACTATCTTGTTGCTGTATTTTTTAGAGTATCCACATACTACAGAAATTCTTACTTTTGACCATGGCACCTAGCACAGTTTTATTGCATAAATACTGAAAATTTAGCCATCTAATAGACTCTGACTCATGGCAACCCTATATGTCTCATAGTAGAATCGTGCTCCCTAAGGTTTTCCTTGGTTGATTTTTCAGAAGCAGATTGCCAGGCTTTTATTTTGAGACACCTTTGAAAAAAAAAAACAAAAAACCACTCACTGTTGTCAAGTCAGATCTGATTCACAGGGACCCCTCCTTGGGTTTCCACGGCAGTGTCACTGTGGAAGTAGATTGTTCAACCTTCCTTCCAAGGAGTGGCTAATGAATTTGAAATGCCAGCCTTCTGGTTAGCAGTCAAACGTCTTTAGGTGGTCTTAAACTTCCAGTATCTCAGCAGCAAAGCATGTTGACCGTTTGCACTCTTCTTCCCTGCTTAGAGGAGTTCTGGTGGCATAGTGCTAACCAGAAGACTGGTGGTTTACACCCACTAGCAACTTCTCAGAAGGAAGATCAGGCAATCTACTTCTGTAGAGTTTACCACCTTGGAAACCCAAAGAGGGCTTGCTATGAGTCGGAATCATTTTGATGGCAGTGAGTTTGGTTTTGGTTTTGGGTTTTTTCCACTAGAGAATTAGTTTAGCTAAGAGAAAGGTTTTCAGTCTTATTTCTGACACTGCCAGCTGTTTTCGGATAATACCAAATGTAATCTAATTTGTATTTC